TAGGTATCTTAGTTATCTAGTGCTGCTATAACAGAAATACCATAAGTGGGTGGTTTTAGCAAACAGCAATTTATTTTCTCACAGATTAGGAGGCTGTCGTTGCCATTAGGTGCCACTGAGTTGCTTCTAACTCACAGCAACCCTATGCACAACAGAACGGAACAATGCCCAGTTCTGCCCCATCCTCAGGATCATTACTACGTTTGAGCCCACTGTTGCAGCCACTATGTCAATCCATCTTGTCTAGGGTCTTCCTCTTTTTCGGTGACCCTCTACTTTAGCAAGCATGATGTCCTCCTCCAGGGACCAGTCCCTCCTTATAACATGTCCAAAGTACATGAGAAGAAGTCTCGCCATCCTCGCTTCCAAGGAGGACTCTGACTATACTTCTCCCAAGACAGACTTGTTCATTCTTCTGGGAGTTCATGGTATATTCAACATTCTTCACCTAATTCAAAGGCATCCATTCTTCCATGGTCTTCCTTATTCTTCCAGCTTCCGCATGGAAAAGTTGCAAATATCATGGCTTGGGTCAGGTGCGCCTTGGTCCTCAAAGTGGCATCTTTGCTTTTTAACACTTTAAAGATGTTTTCTGCAGCAGATTTGCCCAATGCAATACATCATTTGATTTCTTGACTGCTGCTTTCATGGACATTGATCGTAGATCCAAGTAAAATGAAATCCTTGACAACTTCGATATTTTCTCCGCTCATCATGATGCGGCTTATTGGTCCAGTTGTGACGATTTTTGTTTGCTTTATGTTGAGATGGAATCCATACTGAAGGCTGTAGTCTCTGATCTTCATCAGTAAGTGCTTCAAGTCTTCTTTGCTTTCATCAAGCAAAGTTGCGTCATCTGTATATTGCAGGTTTTAATGAGTCTTCCACCAATCCTGATACCACATTCTTCTTCATATAATCCACCTCTTGGATTATTTGCTTAGCATATAGACTGAATAAATACGGTTAAAGGATACAACCCTGACGCACACCTTTCCTGACTTTAAATCACACAGTATCCCCTTGTTCTGTTCAAACGACTTCCTCTTGGTCTATGTACAGGTTCCACATGAGCAAAATTAAGTGTTCTAATTCCCATTCTTTGCAATGTTACCCATAATTTGTTATGATCCACACAGTGGAATGCCTTTCACAGTCAATAAAACACAGGTAAACATCTTTCTGATATTCTCTGCTTTCAGCCAAGATCCAAATGACTAGGAGGCTAGAAGTCCAAATTCAGATGCTGGCTCTAGGTGAAGGCTTTCTCCCTCCGTCGACTCTGAAGGAAGATCCTTGTGTCTTCTGAGCTTCTGCTCTCGGGCAATCTTTATGTGGCTTGGATTCTGTCTTCCTCCATCTCCGCTTCTCCTGCTGGCTTGTTTAATTTCTCTTATATCTCAAAAGAGATTGATCCAAAACACACCCTACTCTGATCTTGCCTCATTACCGTGACAAAGATAATCCATTCCCAAATGGGATTATAACCACAGGCATAACCAAAAAAAATAAAAATAAAGTCCGTTGCTGTCCAACTCATAGAGACCCTATAGGGCAGAGCAGAACTACCCCACAGGGTTTCCAAAGCTATAAATTTTTACAGAAGCAGACTGCCACATCTTTCTCCCATGGAGCATCTGGTAGGTTTAAACTGCAAACCTTTCAGTTAGCAGTTGAGCACTTAACCACTATGCCACCAGGGCTCCTTACCACAGGCATAGAGGCTAGGATTTACAACACGTATTTTTGGGGGACACAATTCAATCCATAACAGTAGGTATTTTTATTCCTTCTTGTTCCTTTTTTTAAAGCTAAAGAAACTGAATTCCATAAATACTAAATGTCATTAAATACCATTTCAAATACTTGCCAGACAGAGCTAGTCAAGACAGGGCCAGGACTAGTGGATTCATTTCAAATTTATCATCATATCCACCATTTGCACGTAAACACTCAGCTACACAGTCAGGAACCTGGGAGTACCCAAAAGGAAATCTAAAGAAAAGAAGCAACATGACTTTATGTTGGTGAATCCAACACCAGTAAAAGGAGTAAGAAGTTCAGATTTATGTCTTCTTACATAAACCAATCACCAATCCTCTGACCATCAGTCCCCTATCAAGTCTTCAATACCTCTGAAAAGAATTTTTATAACAAACTAAAGAAGAACGGTCTATTTCTGTGTCTTATCCATTCAGTACAGTAAACATCCCTTGTTCACAGGACTTTTTCATGACAGCTTTATTGAGATATACATTCCATAAAACTCACCCTTATAAGGTATAAAAGTCAGTCATTTTTAGTATATTCACAGTATTATACAACTTTGTCACCCCAAAAAGAAATTTTCATCACCCCAAAAAGAAACCCATTCACAGTCACTCCCCATTCCCCCAGCCCCTGGCAACCACTTCTACTTTCTGTCTCTGCAGATTTGCCTCTTCTGGACATTTCACATTAAGTAGAACCATATGATATGTGGTCTTTTCTGACTGCTTCTTTCACTTAGCACAATATTTTCAAGGTTCACCATGTTGTAGCATGAATCAGTACTTCACTCTTTTTTATGGGACAATACCATTCCACTGTGTGTATATATATACGTATATATATATATATATATATATAAACATATATCATGTTTATCCATTTATCAGTTAATGGAAATTTTACGTAGTTTTCACAGGATTTTTGACCTGTAAAAACCTTAGAGGTCATCTAATCTGATTCCTCACTTTATGGATAAAGAAATTGTAGCCCAATGAGAAAATCAGCCTTTTTTTTATAGAGCTGGTATTATCTTCAATTTAATTAATCAAATATTTACTGAGCATTTACCATTTATTAGGCACTTTGCTAGTGTTAGGCATACATAACTCCTTTTTTGTGAAGAAAAAGAATGTGATAGAAAGAACTCTGGCAAGCTGATAGGAGAAAAGTTTTAATGTTATTTCTTGGCACTTTCAATCTAGAAGTTAATCATAAACAGGGGATTTATAAATACAACGGTCAGAGATTGAAAACTGACTTTCTAATTTCTTTTACTGGCTTGGAATTTCTGTGCTATTTAATCAAGCAGCAAGCCAGGTACTTAGACAGGCTTTCCAAGCTAATAAATGGTGGCAGGAAGTGGGGATTGTGAAATGGGGACCATGCATAGGATTCATTCAGTCTGGATATCCCAAATCAGTTAGCTCTACACTGAAGAAACCTGGTAGACCCAACCTTAATCTGGTGAGCAAAGTTACACCACCAATAATAAGACATATAAACACCATGTACTCCCTGGTATGGTGCACTAAAAATGGTGTATTACTTCTATGGTATTCTTGGGGAAAAAAGTGCTTAATCTCACTGTCATCTTAGGAAACATCAGACAAAGCCATATTGAGGGATATTTTAAAAAATAACTGACCTTAAAAGTGTCAACTGCTTTTAAAAGTGTCAAGGTCATGAAAGTCAAAGAAAGACTGAAAACCTATCACGTGACTAAGGAGACATGACTGGTGTCCCTGGGTGGTGCAAACAGTTATGCACTCAACTACTAGCTGAAAGGTCGGTGGTTCAAACCCACCCAGAGGCACCCCTGGCAAATATTTACTGGCATACAAGCCAGTACAAGAAATGCCTGGAAGACATGCCTGGCAATCTACTTCTAAAAGGTCATAGCCTTAAAAAACTCTATGGAGTTCTACTCTACACAAGGAGTCCATGAGTCGGAACTGACTCAACAGCAACTGAAAACAACAAAGGAATCATGACAACTAAATACAATGTGGTATTCTAGATTGGAAGGAGCCCTGGTGGCACAGTGGTGAAGCGCTTGGCTGTGAACCAAAAGGTTGTCGGTTCAAACCCACCCCGTCACTCCAAGGGAGAAAAGACCTGGCAATCTGCTGCCATAAAGATTACAGCCTAGTAAACCCTACGGGGCAGTTCTACTCTGTTATATACAGTTGCTATGAGTCAGAATCAACTTGACGGCAAACAACAATTCTAGATTGGATCCTAGAACAGAAAAAAGACATTAGTGGGAAACTGATAAAATTCAAATAAAGTCTGTAGGTCGATGAACAGTACTGTAACAATGTTAAATTCCTGTAGTATTTTTGTAACACTGGTGGCGCAATGGTTAAGTGCTCAGCTGCTAACCGAAAGGTTGGTGGTTTGAACCCACCAGCCACTCCAAGGGAGAAAGATGTGGCAGTCTGCTTCTGTAAAGATTTACAGCCTTGGAAACCCTACAGAGCAGTTCTACTCTGTCCTACAGGGTCGCCATGAGTCAGAACTGACTTGACAGCAGTGAGTTTTCTATAAGTCTAAAATTATTTCCAAATAAAAAGTTTTTTTAAAATACATTTCTAGGCTTGAGATCTTGCTTTTAATCACACTGAAGGAGTAACTTGTTATGGCTACCTATTACTATTTTCAGGAGTCCCTGGGTGGCACAAATGGTTTAGCACTCAACTACTAGCCAAAAGGTTGGTGGTTCAAACCCGCCCAAAGGCACCTTGGAAGACAGGTCTGGCAATCTGCTTCCAAAAGGTCACAGCCTTGAAAACCCTATGGAGTCATGGGGTCACCATGGGTCAGAATCAACTCAACAGCAACCAACAACAATACCACTATAATTTTCAAATTAGAAGAGTTTATCAATGATTCAGAATCTCAAAACCAATTCTTACAGTGTATGCTGGACTACAGCAGCCATAACAAGAAAACAAGCCCATTAATGAAAGACCCACGTGTTAAAAACTACATAGCACACTCTTAATAATAAGAAGATTGCCAGAAAAAAGACACCAACATTCGGGTCATAGCAATGGTCCACAACACAAATAAAATAACGTGAAATATAAAATACAAAGAACTGGACAAAATCAATCGAACCAACAAGTAATGAGATCATGACTTAATGAATTTCTGTTGTGTTAAATTGTCATGAGTCTGATGAGAAAGATTTATTATTAGGTAGATGTTAAATTAGTTCTGGTACATACCCAGATTTCAAGTCAGTTATCCTCAAACAGTTTGTAGAATCCAGTCCCACTTTTCCATTCCGGACCACGCTAGATATGAATGGGGAGAGCATTGGAGAAATTCGGTTCAAGGCCACTTCTGGGGACATTTTAACTTGACTTGCAAATTGCCACTGAAAGTAGAAGCAAAGAATGGTGATCAGACTATCCAACAGATCTAGATGTAACAAGCTTCCTGAAAACTGGCACAGCACACAGAAGTTTGTCTTGCACGAATAAATACTTCATTTCCTGTTTTTATAGAAGTCTCTTCCAGTGATCCTCCAGAAGAAACCATCTCCCTGCTGCTCAGCTACTTAGGACGCAGGCTACACCACTGCTTTTTAGGAACAGAGGAAACCCTTGAAATACAATTTCCACTCCTTTCCAATTCTGGTTTCTACAATGCCACACTCTACTTAAAGCTATCCTTCTCTATCTTACAACTGACAGGGTCTACTTTAGTTGAGGCTAAAAACCTCCTCCTAAAACCAAAACACACATACCACTGAGTCAGGAATCCCTCCCTGTGTCTCCACAAAGGGTAAGAACTTGATTGCTAATATTATACAAAACTAAAACAAGCATAGCCTGCTTGCAATTATTACTCACTAGAATTTATTTGCTTCCGATATTCCTCTCTTAATAACTGTCCCTTTTCATAGTGTATTATAATGACCTGCTTCAGTGATTTCTCCCATGTAGGGGATATGTCTTGAATCCCTAACACTTAATAAAAGTACATGGCACACACTAAGCACTCAGTAAACATAAATAAATAAAAACGTAAATAAACACACACGAAATGCTTAGATCTGGAAAGAAGATACAATGTCCTCAAAAAACTTTGGTAGGGTATAGTAGGTAAGAAGAATAAATGTTGCAAAAATCTACTTAACAATTAAATCATGAAAACATACACCTATCCAGATATTATGAAGCAACATAGGCAATACGGATCTTACTTTAATTAGTCTTTGACTTTAAGGCACTATTAAATGCTTACACTTGAAAAGACAAAAGTAAAATCAATAAATCATATCTAAATTACTTAGAAACTCATGGGGCTGAGGAGAAAGTATGTGAATTCCTCTTAATAAGTCTCTAAATGAAACATGAAAGCCTCTACTTTCAGAGGTGAATAAGTCAATTTAAATGGTCATCTTCTTCCTTAATCTGAAAGATAATCCCACATCAAAAGCAAATAAATCTCCAGCAAGTTACAATTACAAGTAAATTACGTTTTGGTTCTAGTTTCCATATATTATGCCACATGAGAACTTACAGATCCTTGCTAACACAAATGTTGAAAACAAGTATTTATTTTATCATTTCAGATAGTAATAAAGGGAAAGATTGCAGTGATCTTTCACAGAGTAAGAACGAAATGTTGATCTTATATATTGATGACACTCAGAAGTATTTTGGGGGTGGTAAAGTTTTATACTTTAGTTCCAAGGTCACAGGCTCCTCTTCTGACCACCTAACCAATGACCTTCTTCCTCCACCATCCCTATATATCATCACAAAGTAGGATAAAAACCTAGTGCACTGTATTATTAATTATAAAAATCATGTACATTTTGATAATATTTTATCACTTTTAAAGAACTACCATATACATTATCGTAGCTGATAAGAATTCACAACCCTGGGTTTTAAGACAGGTATTACAATTCCCATTTTACAGATAATATGGATTACTGTTGTGTGCCATCGAGTCGACTCTGACTCATGGCGACCATATAGGGCTGAGTAGAACTGTCCCATAGGTTCCAAGGCTGTAATCTTTATGGAAGCAGACTATGACATCTTTCTCCCAGAAGCAGCTGATGGCTTCCAAATGCAGACATTTCAGTTAGCAGCTTAGTGCTTAACCACTCAACCATCAGGGCCTCTTGGATAATATGGATAACTTTATAATTTATCTTTGAACAGTATTAATCATTTGAGCCCCAATTTTTTTCTATTCTGCAACATTTCCGTTATGATTTCTATCCACTGATGTCATAGTTCATGAAGGGATGCTTATCTAGATCATGTGCAAAACACAGAAGTATTCATCTCAGAAAAAAGCAAAAGGATCTCACTCACAAAATTATTCTCCCACGTTTTTTCCCATGATACCTGTTATTATTTTACCTACCATTTCTACCAAAGAAAAGAAACAGAACCAGCACATTCTTAACATCTTCTCAGTATCAGGCACAATACCACTCACCTCCTATCTGTAATTTCATTCACATTTTCCCAACACAACCTTATTCCCTGGTTAATAATATTGCTCTCATTTTACAGATTTAAAAAAAAAAATATTAAAGCTTAGCAAGATTAACTAACTTGTTCAAGGTCACACTTTTAGCAAGCAGAAGATCAAAATTCAAATCCAGATCTAAAAATCCACTACACCCATCTTCCTCTCAAATAAAGTTGTAACTCTGATTACCAAAGAGAAAAGCATCCAGATGAGTTTTGTGTTGTCGTTTTGTGTGGTTTTTTTTTTTTTGAAGTGTACATCTTGTAAAATTTGAACAGTCATAAATTCAAACTGATGGCTGTTTCACAACCAGAAACAAACTAGGCTACTGCTGAAGCTGGCCTGAGTGATTCACTAGTCAGAGGCTAACAGGATCAAACCTGCTCAGAAGCCAAACTATAAGAAAGGTGACAGCAAGGCATTCCAGTTCAGCAACTGTCATGATCTTTGAATGACACCTGAGGGAATCAATTTCTGTCTTTTTTGCATAACATCCATATTATTTTTGACAGTGCAACATTTCATTCAGCATTAAAATCTGCTTCAATCCTGGGGTGTTGTGACTTCTCTAAGGGAGAGGAAAAAATATTCGGACTCCAAAATCAGAGGTCATTGAGTAGCCAAGTCGATGGTCCTCTGGTGACATGAACGAGGAATCGCCTCCCACGATCAATTTTTACACATTCTAGCAGTATAAAAAATCCCAGATAGATAAAACTTTACTCTGACCAGACTCCCTTGAATGTTACTTGTACAATATGTATCTCCTGGTTTCGACGTATTATACAAAGAAAATTCAGAAATACAATTTTTAGAGGTCTGCTGCCCCAAAACAGTTACATAAGGTCCTTTAGAAGTCTGGGGAATACAATGACGTCTAAAGCACCGTCCAAATTTTCTTAATTACGATAGGATGACAAACACGGAAAGATGTGCCCCGCTGACGTCATGGAACGGAAAGGGGTGGCGTCCTGCTCCGTCACGTCAACGTCATACAGCGCACGAGGGAAGTTATACTGGGGAACTAATTTCTCCAAGGGGCAACATTCAAGAAAGACAGGTCGGCTAGAACCAAATAATACCACCCCACTCTAAAGGATATCTATAACGGGGCACTCCCCCTTTTCCCAAATTGTATGATCTCCCTCTTAGACGGGAAGTTGGAAGGAGCCTGAGCCTAATCAGGGGCCAGGTGGAGGGCCAGATATGGAGAAAGAGATCTCTGGCCTTGGGGGATCGTTCTTAAGGGGACCAGCATGATGGGGGTGAGCAGAGCATCTCTGGAAAGGGGGCCTTCTCTGTAGGAAGAGGAGGCGAGCCCTCTGGCCATGTTTAAACCACAGTCCTCAGCGGCACCTTTACGACTCAGGATCCAACCTCCCCGCACCAGCCCCAGTCCAGGTACCTGGAACTTAGTCCGATCGGTAACCGGCGACTACGTGGGGTACAGGTTACCCAAGCGCGCCCCCGACCGACACACCGACCTGCGCGCGCACCGCGGGGCAGATGCGTACGCGCTCCTCTGACGTCCCGCCCCGCCCCCACGGCCCAGAAGCTAAGTGACGTGCGCGCCCCCGCGCCACGCCAAGCCGGGCGGTGGGAAAGGCGTCCCTATAGCGCCTGAAAGTTCCTTCCTCAGCGCTTACCTCGTGGCTGGCGAGGAGTGGGGAATCTAGAAATAAAAGTAGGGCTCTGCAACGTGAGGCAGTGGAAGGAGGCAATTCCTGGAAGAACAGGACCAGTTCGAGGGCGAGGTTATTTCTGGCATTCAGGTGGGCGCCCCGTGTTGGCGTCTGAAAGGCCCGCGTCGTTAGAGAGAGTAGGAGCGGTGTCTGTGGTCACGGGGTCGGGCAAAGGGCGAAGGTCAGCGTCCACGTGAGAGACCACTGCTGTTAGCAATGGCCGCGTCTGGGGAACCCGGGAGGCAGTGGCAGGAGGAGGTGGCGGCGGTGGTAGTGGTGGGCTCCTGCATGACCGACCTGGTGAGGTTAGTCCGGGGCCAGTAAGCGGTCTGCGGCGGCGCGGGGAAATGGGCGAACTGTGCTCTTTTCGCTGCCTTGGCACTGGCTCTTTGGGGATGGAGAGTGTTCTTTTTTGGTGTTGAGTTACAGCCTGCAGCCAGCCTTCCTGTGGTGGAAGAGGCTGAATTTGAGTTTGTAAGGTAGTTGTCAGGTGAGGGAACAGAGGCTAGGGTTTATTGTTACTCTGTTGTTGTTAGGTGCTATCGAGAGTCGATTCCAACTCATAGCGAATCTATGTGCAGCAGAACGAAATACTGCCCGGTCCTGCGCCATCCTCACAGTCCTTGGTGTGTTTGAGCCCACTGTTGCAGCTACTGTGTGGAGCCATCTCATTAAGGGTCGTCCTTTTTTTCACCGACCTTACCAAGCATGATGCCCTTCTCCAGGGACTCGCCCCTCCTGATAACATGTCTAAAGTACATGAGACAAGTCTCGCCAACCTCACTTCCAAGGAACATTCTGGCTGTTGTTCGTTGTTCTGGCCGTCCATGGTATATTCAGTATTCTTCACTGATACCGTAATTCAGAGGAATCAATTCTTTGGTCTTCCTTATTCGTTATTCGGCTTTCGCATGCATAATGAGGCGATTGAAAATACTCATGGTTTGGGTCAGGGGCACCTTAGTCCTCAAAATGACATATTTGCTTTTTCAGACTTTAAAGAGGTCTTTTGGGCAGATTTGCCCAATCCAGTGCGTCATTTGATTTCTTGACTGCTGCTTCCACGGGCATTATTTCTATGAGCATCTCTAAAGACTTGGCCCTGTTTTCTTGACCAAGATGCTGAGTTCTTCCCCTGACTAGTCAATGACTTTACCCAAGTCATTTTACTTGATTTTCCGCTTCCTCTTTTGTAGACTGGGCCTGCCTCAAACAGGGTCGTTCTGAGGACTAAATGAAGTAAAATGTTTTGTAAACCATAACACTGTCCACCAAAACCCATTGTCATCGTGTCATTCTGACGCATAGAGACCCTATAGAACAGAACAGAACTGCCCCATAGGGTTTCCAAGGAGCAGCCAGTGGATTCGAACTGCTGACCTTTTGGTTAGCAGCTGAGCTCTTAACCACTGCGCCGCCAGGTCTCCTTAACACTATCTAAGTTGAATATTATTCGTTTGAGATTTTTGTATCAAAAAAAGAGTTGAGCATCAGACATTCAGTCGCCTTTCACCATATTGATAGTTGGCATTGCAGTAATATAGTTTCAGATTATATTTTAGTATTATGGTAGCCATAGGTTACCTTATAGCAACCCAAGTGTGAACCAAAATAAACTATAAGCACAATATTTTCAACCATTAAAAAAAAAAAATCAAATAATGAAAGAAAATATGCTTAATAAAATAGCTGTTGAGTTAGGTTGGTGACATCGGGGGAGGTGATTCTTCCAAAAAGTGAAAATGGCTTTTTTTTCTGATTATAAAAGTAATAATATGTTTATTGGGGAAAAAAAAAAATCAGATGTTCCAAAAAATGGTAAAGAAAATCGTACCACTCAGATTACTTACGTTTAACATTTTGCTGAATAGCTCTTCAGATATGTTCCGATTTATATTTGATTATGCTGTTTTTACTTTACGAAAATAAAAAATTATCAGTCATACTGTAGTAAGACCTTATCTGTCTTGCAGCCTTCTTTTCGTAACTATAGCAGAGAACCTGGAAGTAAACAAAAAGGCCTTGAGACAATCAAAATAAGTCAACAAATCCCTGCGCCAAACCACCTGTACTTCACTCAGAAATTAGTTCCAGGGTCTTCACATAACCACTTTAATTGTACTTTGCTTAAAATGTTTATATTCAAGGTTGGCAAGTTTCCAAACCCAGATTAGAAAGAAAAGGGGAGAGACTGCTAGAGGCAAGTGTAATGATTGCTGAAAACCTGAGAGTGAGGTGGGACAGTGTGTAACAACCAAACTAAACCATTTGCTGTTGAGTCAATTCCAGCCCGTGTACGCAGAATAGAACTGCGCTCTATAGGGTTTTTAAGGCTGTGCGCTTTCAGAAGCAGATCAGGGCTTGCTTTTGAGGTGCCTCTGGGTGGGTTCAGACTGCCAGCTTTTCAGTTAGTAGCTGAGTGCTTAACCATTGCACCACCCAGAGACTTCCTGAATGCCAGTAGCCTTTATTTTTTCATAAATATTTCAGCTCCTACCTTGTCAGACACTGTACTTAGACACATTTCCTTTCATGACAACATAGAGTTCAGTGTAGTCTGTAACATTTGGAAGAGAGGTCAACATGCCTTGTTCTAGGGCAAAGGTCAGCAGACCTTCCTGTGAAGAGCCAGATAATAAACATTTTCGGCTTTGCGGGTCACATGTGGTTTTGGTCAAATATTCTTTAAGCAACCCATTAAAAATGTAAAAACCATTCTTAGCTCCCAAGGCTTTACAGAAACAGCCTGCAGGCCATAGTTTACTGACCCCTGTCTAGGGCATCACTGTCTTAAGGCCCAATATAGTAGTTGATGTTACTATGATGACTCTTTACAAGGAAAGGTAATATAGTACTCATTTGATTTTATATAAAAATAGGGCATGTATGTCATTTTAGAAATAGTTCCATCAAAAGTCTTTAAAATAGAAGTTTAGTTATATAAATGAATAGACCTTCATACAATTATAATAATTCATACTTCAGAAAATCCATCTAGCTAAATTTTTACGGTACTTTATTTTTTACTGTACTTCCATAGATGAAGTGACAGAAGAGTAAGAAAGTTAAACAATTTTCCCAAGTACTGTAGCTGACATAAAAGTGTCAGTTAAAATTCAGAGCCACTTCTTGCTTAGCAAACTAAGTCTGAGCTTTCTGTGAACCTTGACCATGAGGCACTAAAGATAGCTATGGTGCTTTCTAAGATGAATACTGTGCAGATTGCGGCGGGGAGGGGGAAGAGTGTCAAAGGCCCATTTTAGTATCTGTCAGAATTTTTAAATCTTATTTCAGAGCTAGAGGAAGTTAGAGATTATTTATTCCAGCACCCAGCCCCTTAGTTTATAGATGAGTATACTGAGGCCCAGAGAAGAAATTCTTACATTGTGGATAACCTAATTTCTCTTCTCTTGCCATTTTCTTTACTTCATAAAATATCCAGATTTCTACTCTTCATGGGAAATTTTAAAAATTTTATTCCCCTATTCCATAGCTTTTCTCCAAACTTTTCATGGTCTCTGATTACTTCTAGCTCTGAAGATCTTCACAGAACACCCAAGTATAAATGTTTGTATTTAAAACCCTGCCTCTGTCATGAACTCAGGTTCAACTTTACTAGTTATGAAACATACTGCGATTGTATTAGTTTCCTATTGCAGCTGTAACAAATGACCACAAATTGGGTGGTTTAAATAACACAAATTTATTATAATTTTGGAGGTCAGAAATCTGACACAGGTCTTCCTGGTTGGAAGTAAAGTGTCAGCAGGGCTGTTTTCCTTTCTGGAGACTCTGGGAAGAATCTATTTTCTTGCCTTTTCCAGCTTCTAGAGGCTGCCTGCAGTCCTTAACTCAGTGGCCCCTTCCTCCATCTTCAGAGCCATCAATGGCCGGTCGGTGTTTCTCACATTGCATCACTCTGACTCTCACTCTTCCTCCTTCCACTTGCACTCATAAGGACCCTTGTGATTACATTGGGCCCACCCAAATAATCCAAGATAATCTCCTCATTATGAAGTCAGCTAATTAGCACTCTTAATTCCCCCTTGCCATCTAACATAACATTCATAGGCTCCAGAGGTTAGTATGTGGACATCTTTAACCAACCAGTTGCCATCAATTGACTCTGACTCATGATCGCCCCATGTGTGTCAGAGTACAGTGCTTCATAGGGTTTTTAATGGCTAATTTTTCAGAAGTAGATTACCAGGCCTTTCTTCTGAGGTGCCTGTGGGTGTGTAACCACTTGCATCACCAGTGTACATCTTTGAGGGACCATTATTCTGCCCAGTACAGTGATTAACCTTAAAGTAAAAAAAAGTATATAATACTTAGAGCTGGAAGGATCTTTGAGGTCTATCAGTCCATCCACATTTTACAGATGAAGTAACTAAGAGAGGTTAAATGACTCATCCCATATCACACAGCCAATTAGTGGCATAGTGATGGCTGGGACCCAGGTCTCCCATTCCTTATCTTTCCATTTTATCATTCTGCCTCTCACTCTGACTAGTATTTATTTCCTTTTTCATCTGCAGTTCATATGAGCGCCTGTAGCCACTGCATTCATTGTTTATTTAGTAAGTCAGTAAGACATAACAACTAAGGATTTGTCATTTTCAGGCCTAAAGGTAGTGTCTTTATTGCTGTTGTTTATTTCATTCCTAAATTTGACTATAGCCTGGATACCCATGTCTACCATGTAGAAATCACTTTAAAACTACCTCAGTAACTGAGTCTTCTTGGATGGCATCCAAGTCTACTTCACTTTATATATTAGATTACTATGTGCCAGACACTGCTAATTCAGTCGATGAGCAACTTT